CAGCTTCGTCAGCTTAAATTCAAAAGAAAGTTTTCGGCGAATTTTCAAAAATTCCTTCTACAATGTCATGTTAACATGTCAAGCATGACAAAAAGCTTCAATTATTGCCTCTTGGAAGTTCAGTCAGTCCGAATTGAAAAGCAGTTTTTGCAAAGTTTCAGCAGTTTGTCTAACAACCAGGCGAATGCATTTTTCAAAATTCATTTGCATCGAACCACGAAAAGCTACATCGGCGATTTGTGCGTTCTTTAACGGATAAAGTTTCCCTTTTCATCCCTTAGAAACTTCATTGTCCTGAATTCAAGTTACAGTTTTTTTGAAAATTTTGAAAAATTTTCAAGAACGCTGTACATGCAGAATTACAAATGTCTATTGTTCCGAAGCACGGAAAACTACAGCGACAATTTTTGCGCCTGTTTAACAGTTAAAAACAAACTTTTTGGCAAATTTTCGAAAAAACTTTTTTGAACATGGAAAAGGCATTTTTTTCAAAATTCTATTGCTCCGAAACTTCCAGCAAAGGTATTGGCATTATTTAATTTAAAAAAAATCGACTTATGCCGGGACTCCAAAAACGTTCACTACACTCGAGCAAATCTGTTCTCGATGTAAAGTGAATTGAGCCAATTGAGTTAAATACTTTAAGGACTTGGGGAAACAAACCTACTGCCGTTATTGGTTGTTGTAAATACGGGCAAACCACCACTAAAACTAATATTTCATCGCTCAATAAACTGCAAAGCAATTACTGCATAGTAATCCAGCGGGAGAGTAAACAGGTTCCTCGCAACGGCAATTTCAATCTCGGTTTTGATTATTGTTTACCCAGATACAACCTGGTATTAAATCTTATATTTGTAAATATTATCCCTGAAGAGGATTCACTTGGCCCGGGCTATTTACATTGGTGGAACGATGAGAACCCACCCAACCAAATAAAACTTGTTCTGTTCCATTGCCATCAAGCCTGCGACGGGGACAGGCAATTTTAAACACATAATGAGGAACCATCATTCGCGTAGCTCTAAATTACATCGTTAGGCCCTTTTAAGGATTCGAACTGGAGCCTGGTTCTTCGCTTTGGTTTCTAGCCGGATTAATTGCGAACATGCGCCTTTGCGGCAATTAAACTGGAATCGGGAACGTTTTTTCCCCGGCTTATTCGTTATAGTAATGAAGGAGACTGCATTTCGTGCAGATTTTAGTATTATCAGAAATTGCATTTGTTTCTTCCTCAAGTCCAAAAGGGGCAGATTCCGACAGGTTTTGCTTGATTCTGCTGTCCACCAGCAAATATAACTTAAGAAGCCTTCAAGGTTTCAAGTAGTAGATTTATTACGGTTAAACACTTCGAATTTAGAGCAGGACTTTAATAAATTCCTAACTTTTTCCTGCATTGCGATATCTTCCAGAGAAACACTAAATGTCTTTAATTTTTTTCCTAAAGTGATGAAGGTTTAAAATAGTCAAGTAAACTGAGAAAAGTGTTTGTTGTGAGTTGCTTGGAGTTTGAAAAACCCAATTTTTCATCTAATTTTCTTGTGACTAATCCCAACCAGCCATTTCTTCTAGAAACTTCCATTATGAAAAGTCTGTGAGCAATCGAACCAAATGAAGAACGAGGACATTTCCCAGCCCTTAACTATTCCCAATCACGCTCACTGATTCACGAATTATCGTAAAAGCCGAAGCAGTTGAATCGATAGGAATCGCATCTGAATTTAAAACCGAATTACTGTTTAATAGCGGAAAAGAAACTGAACGTTAGCGTGAAACAATCCGATTTGGCTCAAATGGAAAGGATTCCAACCAGCATACGCTTGTGGGTTTTATTCGTTGGCCACCATAAACCATCCCTGACCTTTAATAAGTGCAGCAATATGGCAAAATTGCTGTTAATAGATTTTTATATCAGCAATTCGAGCATAAATCTCCGGTATAGTGTGAATTACGAGACAAAAGCTGGGTCCCGTATTAGCTACAAATTTACGGCCCTGCATTCGCGCTCAGAATTAAAAAATACGCTGGCATCGGCATTTTTATGAAGCACAAAGCGAAATCTCGGGGATTTTCTACCATATGAATCGATTGCGACCCGGGTTTTATCCGCTAATTAAAAGAAATATCGCAAGTCGAATTTTGAAATTTCTGGTTGTTCATGTTTGGTTTCGAACAATCGTCCGGTCCGATTTAACGATGAATATGCACAAACAAAGGGGAAAACAACTGAGCCCATTGGATTGCGTAGAACAACGCTTTAACATGAACGTTCATTTAAATGCAACAAAGCTTTCTGAAGCATCCTCATCATGCTATTTGAGTTTCTATCATACCGGCCACTCGGCGGGCAAAGTTTAGCCGGAATTCAAATATTTCTAAAGTTAATTCCATTCCGGAGATGGAATGATGCATATTTGTTGTCTCTACACTGCCGCTTTATCGCTGCATCAAACGAAGACAATCGTCGTAATACCGTGTTTCTATATTTATGTTCAGTTTACGCGAAAGTTTTCCCTAAAAAACCATCTGTGGAGATTTTCCCGTGACTGTATAAGAAGCTTCATTAGCGCGCGTCCTTATTGATTGGCAGCGATGGAAATAACGCCCGTATCTCTAACACATACCGTGTTTCATCGAAGTTGAATGTCGAGTCTCTAATTTGCTTTGACATGGTTAGAACAGTGGGAAAACTTCTGATTCTGTACGCCCACCAAAGCCTCGGTTTGATTATTCCTTAATTCGGCATCCGACTAGTTCGCCAGATATCGATATCAATTATAATTGCGGCAAGCATGCAGGAAATCCCTTTATTGCCGCTGGGATGTTGCAGGGCGAACATCGTCATGCAGAGTATTCATTACGAGATGTTGAATCGCTGACTGGAACAATGGTGCTTATCTACCTAATGCTTTGTGCCTGCGGTTTATATTCGAAAAAAAAACTTCAAACTGCTGAACTTTACTGATCAAGAAATAGATCGTTTGAGAACAATTGATCCTTCTGAATCCGCAGGATTTGCATCAAAGTTCAGAAGAACATGTGTTTTTTCAAAGAGAATCAAACAACGCAACTGAGAGAAACATACTAGGAAAACTTCACAAGACACATGGGTTTCTCGGTTTTCTTTGAAATCAGACACTTTTTCGACATGGTTTGCTGGAAAAGTTGTGCCGAGCCCTTCGGGCACGACACTGGTTGAGTTAATCAACCCCATGACATCTCATTGAGGCACATGTATTTAAAGAGTCTTCAGGTTGTTCCTCTCAAATTTCTTCAATTTGAAAAACACTTTCTTTAAAACGTCCCTCACCTTAAAAAATTGTTTAGAAAAATCAAGACGACTAGAGCATTTCGTTTGATACATTTTTATAGAGCTGAGAGAGTAAATGGCTGCTCCATTTACTCTCTCAGCGTCGATTGTCTGAAGTCTGAAGTTTCGTCAATTTTTCATATATTTTTGAATGATTCATAAATTTTGGACGTTTTTAATGTCGTTGATATTTGGCAATTTCTGGGTCGAAAGTTCAAGTTTTCGAACAGATTCAGCAATGCAAATTAAAAAAAAAATCGTCCATAAAAATGGAAACCAGTTTGCAAAACAGAGTGACAGAAATAATGGAAATTTCTAGCAGAAACACTTGAGCAATATTCACAGAAGTAACAGGGCAATGGAGAATAGAATATCGGCGTTTAAAAAAATTCGTGAAAAGATTGTTTCAAATGGAGAATCAAGCGAAACTTGAAGGAAACGTGGGACTTTTTAAGACCGGAAAGCCGAAAATGCAATGTATCCTAATATGAGGACAATTTAAGGCAGGTTGCGCCTACAGGAGAAAAAATCTGCATTTTTCCTCCTACATTTGCATTGAGCTCAACGTTGGATTGCATCTGAAGGATGCATTTTCAACAGAAGAGTCAAGCCCAACTAGCAGGAAAAGTAATATTTTTGCAAAACTTGCAAGAAATTGATCAGTTTTTGGTTAACTAAAATCAGCGTCATTTCCATCTAAGACACCAGGACAGAGCCTCCATGTGGATAATTCCAGTTGTTTTCCACTGAAAGTTCCCATCCAAGCAGCCAATTGAATGATACCGAAACAATGCAGCATTATCAATGCCGTGACTGCATAAATATTATTCCTGGATGGCGTGCCGAAATTGACTGATATCTTCCAGGGGCGATATCCAGACACCGCAATTATGATAATATGGAAAGTTGGCGGCATGGATTTGGGCCCAAACATGCCACAATGCAATTGCTGCAGTTATTGTTCAGCCAATCATGGTAGTAGAGTGGTAGTCTGCATTTTTCCGCCACCAGTTAATAGCAGTCGCGTGGATTTTTCGATTACACTGCCGGATTAGTAGCAGGAAAAACAGTGTCTGATTTTATATGATTCGCCTAAATAACGGGAGTTTTTAAAATGGATTGAGTGCAATTGCCAATTTGATGCCGGCTGCAATAAATGCGCGAAACATCCTGCCGCTGACAAGCCTTTCTAAGGCTTAACTGATTCACACCTGCCGCTGCTGCTGGTTGGGTTTATTCGCACTTTTTCAATTCCCAACAAACACAATTCGATGCAATTAAAAAAATCATAAAAGTTCGCTTTTTTCCTGCTGGCTTTTCAGTAATTGCAAGTAAACGGTGAAAAGCGTACAGTACAATTGAAACTTAAATACATCGTCGTAATATCTTGCAATTTCAGGGAAAATCCGATTATTAGGCGACAATTTGCAGGAATTGCACTTTATTGTTAGCTGAATATATTCGGAGCTTTTGCTCGTTTTAATTGCGCAAATTAGTCCACATTTATTGAACTAATTTCAGTACAAAGTTCCGTGCTGTTAAAATGCCCGTTCCTGCCTGCAGGTTCACGCGCCAACCGGAAAACGCGACTTTTATGGCTGGAAATGCCCAAATAATGGACAAGAAACGCTTGCAAGATTTGTGGTCACATTTGAGTCGTTAGTGGCAGAATTCAAAGTTGGAAACTTACCTCGCAGCTCGATTGATTGATATTGCTGAGGTTCAGTCTGTAGATCCGGTCCCTGGAACAAAAAAAACCAATGTTACTAAACTAAAAATTATTGATACAACATAAAATACATTTAAACGTGGTAAAGTATTGCGGCGTTTAAGTCTGTGACTGGACAAATTGAAATTTCGACCAACAATTTTTAAAAATTGCCAAATATCCACAAATCGCGGCTAATAGACTCATGAAGCGGAAGTATCCTCTATGAAATGATGGTAAAAGCACTTTTCTAGCTTCTCTCAGTTCTGTTCGACGAATTTTTAAAGCTTGCAGTGCAGAAAGTAGGATAGATAGTAGAATGTTGACCTTCAAAGTCAAAAAATTGCCAAAAATAGACGAAATTTTTCCGCAAATTGCTACTCACCAATTGCTACTCACCAAACACCGTAATGGAGCAAAATCTGCCGTTCTAAACAGAGCCAAAACCAGTTCTCTAGTTCCTCTCAATTTTTGTTAGCGAATTTTTACTGTTTATACCATGATTTCACAAATTGAAATTTCGACCAACAAATTCCAAAAATTGCCAAATATCCACAAATTATTTCCGAAAATCGCGACTGATAGTCACAGTCAATGGGAAGTATCCTCTATAAAATTATGGTAAAAGCAGTTTTCTAGTTGCTCTCAGTTTTTCTTGACGAATTTTTAAAACTTGTTTCGCTGAAAGTATTGGATAACGAATTGAAAATTTGCCCTAGGGAAATAAGATGCAGACTACTTGTGCTTGCAAAACGTCAGAAAGGAATTTTTGTCCACCTAGGCATTAAGCAGGGAAAACTCACCAGTTTCAAGCAAATGACTGATTTGATAAAACACAATTGATTAGTGTGCTGATAATGGGGTTTGGATCAAGTCAACTGTCCAGAACACGAGAACTGCGATAAGCGTTCATGTACAAACGTTGGACCGAAGTGAAGCGAATGCACATTTGAAACGCAGCAGCGCCTCCATTTTTGGAAAGTTACTTCCGCACGAATTCGCCTTTGCAGGCCGAGCTTATCGCGTTTACCGTAGAAAGAGATATGCATGTGGGACATTTTGTAGGTATCCAAATGGAAACAGTAATCGGCCGACGATATTTCATCTTCTCATGTCAGTGTTGCTGCAGCCATTGTGGCTGCGGTTCGAGGTTCCATGTTGACACTGAAGCAAAAGTAATCGGAAAATTAATTAGCCCAAATGGAAAGCTTTCAGTGTTCAGTGCAAATGGCCAATTACTTTGCTCGTAGCCGAAAAGTTCGCATCCAATTGGCAACGAAGCAGATTAGCAAAAAGGGCCCATTTTCCGGCGTACTTAGCGGAAGTTAACCATTAGCCAAAAGTCGAAAAACCACATTTCGATTGTTTGCCCGGATTGCTTTCGCATTTTCATTCGCTGTTCTTCTGTCGGCAAAGAAGTGGACACCGGAATCTGTCCCGAAATTAATGAGTCGCCGTCTTTTTAGGTCACGGGACATGTTTCCACTTCCTTCCGTTAATTGGGACAGTCCTGCTTGAAATATCGCCACTTTTTCCAGCAAATATTGAGTTAAGTGTCCACATCGAACACGAGGAGAGATTGCAAAATTCCGAACAGAAAAAGGTTAAATGCTTGTTAAATTTAAAAGTGGCAATGTCGCAAAATTTTGTGGCCACACAGACATTTCCAAGCGTTTTATCATAAGGCAAAGTGCTGAAGAAGTCAGGGAAACTGCTTATCGGCCAGCTATCTCACGTTTATGACCTCTTGGCCAATCTGCAGTCGGATGACTTCAATTGCCCGCTTTTCCGGCAAAATACACATCTCTTTCGCTTCACTATCGAAGCCAGCGCTTTGTTATTGCTGTAAAGGCGTCTCTATTTTCACTTTTACGTTCCATTCATTCGGAATAATCCTGCCTGATAGCGGTCATTTATCAATAGCTTTGGACCATCGAGGAGCACAATGTTTCCTTAATATACCGAGTGAACATTTCCAGGCTGCAAAGTTGCACACTTTGATCAGGCTAGGAATTGATGGGTTATTAGAAGAAGATTCATTTTCGTCATCGCAGACACAATATGATTAGAACGGGACAATTAATTAACTGCTGGAAACTATCGCAGGACTCAGGGTCTCATTAATAATATTACTGCTTAATCGGGCCGATATAATTGCGGCAATTATAGCGCCGGGTATTCGACTATAATAATTAATTTTGCTCTGAGTGACGAGAAGCGAGAGGGCGCCGATTACATGTATTACATTTGTATGTACGTGCAGGATATCGGGATCTGTGCGCTCCCAAAAAAACCCCAACAGATTTTCGCTTGTTGGCCAAGGTTTTTTTCGTCGGGCCATCATCAGTCATCGCTTATCAGCGAACTGGTCCTGAATGTGTATATTGGCAGGTTCGCCTGTCGCAGGAAGAATGAATTATTTTCATTTGCAAGCAAAAAACTGGGCTGGATACGAACACGGATTCAGCAAAGTGGGATTTTTTCGTGAAAGTAAAACCACTGACAGTTCGAAAGTCGAAAGTGGGAATTGGAAGATTATTGATTTTAATGCGGTTGCATTAAGCAAAGGTCTAATAATTCCGTGGATGTCGAGTTCCATTGAGATTTCGTCGATTTTTGAAAATTTTTTGAACCAGCAGGGCAAAGTTTCAATTTGTTTTCTAACACATTCAGCAAGACAGGTTTAAGAAATTCTGTAAAAAAAATGAGTGAAGCTAGAGAACTGCTTTTGGCGCTATTTAGTAGAGCAGATTTCGCTCTATTAATCTAATTAACCATTTTCTGAAAAAAATCGTTGATTTTCGGCAATTTTTTTACTGTTGACGGCATTTTAATCGCTCTTATCTTACTTTCTGCAAGGCAAGTTAAAAAATTCGTTACCAAAAAATGAGAGCAGATGGAAGACTGCTTTTGTGATCATATTATAGAACGATTTTTTGAACGTGTTGGTCGAAATTTCAGTTTGTGTAATCATGGTTTTAGCAGGGCAAGTTTTAAAAATTCGTCGAGCAAAACTGAGAGCAGTTGGAAAACTGCTTTTACCATCATTTTATAGGGAATACTTCCCCTTGATGACTCTATTAGTCGAGATTTGCGGAAAACATTTGTGGATATTTGACAATTTTTTAAATTTGTTGATCGAAATTTCAATTTGTGTAATCATGGATTCAGCAGGGCAAGTTTAAAATTCGCTAACAAAAATTGAGAGTAGCTAGAGAACTGATTTTGGCTCTATTTAGAACGGCATATTTTACTCCATTATATTGGTGAGTAACAATTTTCTGAAAAATTTCGTCGATTTCGTCAATTTTTTAACATTGGAGGTCAACATTTCAATCGCTCGTACCCTACTATCTGCACGCCAAGTTTTAAAAATTTGTCAAGCAAAACTGAGACCAGCTATAAAACTGCTTTTACCATAATCTTATAGAGGATTTTTCCTTTTTATGACTAATAGTCGCGATTTTCGGAAAAATATTATAGATATTTGACAATTTTTTGAATTTGTTGGTCAAAACTTCAATTTGTCTAGTCACTCTATTAACGGGGCAGGTTTAAAAATTCACTAACAAAAACTGAGAGCAGCTAGAAGACGGTTATTCCTATAATTTTATAGGGAAGACTTCGTTCTTTTGACTCCATTAGCAACAACTTGGGGACATTTTGTTCGATATTTGGCAAATTTTTGAATTTGTAGGTCGAAATTCCAATTTACGATTTGCATAAGTAACGATTTACTGAAAAATTTCGTCCACATATACCAATTTTTTTAGAATTTGGACGTCGGAATTTATTGTCATTTTTTTAACAAAGTGGCTTAAAAAACTGAAATTTAAACAAATATACGGGCTATTAGTAAACTTGACCGGTCTCTAAATCGGCCTAAAAAATCGATCGAATGGCGGGGCAATAAACGAGAGAAAAACTACGGTTTTCCGCCAAAACAATCCGCAATCGCAACACAAATAGACATGAAACGCAATAATTGCTCGGGAAGAGTATTGGATTTCCAATAAGCGAATTGTGTTTATTGGATATGCGATATTGTTCATAATTTGTGTCGGGAAAGCAAATTTGGAAAAAACGAAGCAAAATGCAATGTTAATGAACAAACACGGTTTTCAGTTTCCAGTCCAGAAGGTTTTTTGCCGTTTCAATGCGGCCGATTCACTTGTGTGAAATATGCTCAAAACTCGCCCTTGAATCGATATGTAAAGGGAAAACGACTCGCTTTGTCACAGCCGGATCGGGCGCAAAAACCGCTCTGTTTTATAATCAGGCATTACATATTTACGAACCTCTCACTTCGCAATTCCGGGCCATATATAAACGATTTCTTATGTGGGGATGAATACCAGATATTCCATATGCCCCCCTTTTAAAAGGCGATAAGTCAGCGGGCAAAAACTTCATTCCGCCGGCGTCTCTGAATAAATATGATATAAAAACTTTCGAATTGGGGACTGGTAGACAATAAAACACTGCTTAAACGCTTCCGAAGTATTTCCGGGATATCGGAATTGAATTGAAAAGAATGGGGGGATGGTGAAATCGTTGTAAACTTGCAGGGCTACTTTGCTTCATCGGAAGAGATCAAGTGTTTTATTCAGCCAGGAAAATGAACACACCATTATAGCCAAAGAGCTTTAAAAAGAAACCAATTTTCCACCAGCTAGTAATTCGCCTGGCACAAAGCAACGTCCAAAACAATAGCATTTCCTGGAAAACTTTTCACAACCGTGGAAAATGTATTTTTAAGTTGATCCAGAATTTCGCGTTGTTGTATTAGAAGGTTCACGTCGTTCGTGTTTCCGTTCCTGTCGGGAATTCACTTTCTTTTAAGGTCACCGAATCTATTAGCGGCCAATTTATCATTTCTGGATCGTGGCATTAAATAACGCTGTCGCTATTGTACCCGCTCTGGATCGGGACTGATATCGGATGACCGCCCCATAAATAAAATATCTGGATCGGCTGACTTCGATTAGGACGGAATTTTTCGCTTTTCTCCTTGTTGTTGATACGTCTCCGATC